CCAGGCAGAATGACTTGTTGGTTTGATCTGTGACTGCAGTGGCCTCCAGTCACAGATGAAGGTACAAACGATCTTACAGATTAACGTTATTTATGAAAATAGCTTGGCAAGCTAGCTAGGCTAAGGTTTGCTAACGAGGAAACTATATAAAGATCTGTCCATTTGGCAACAATAAATAAATAAATGAATGAAATCAAATAAACAAATTCATGTTTTTCATTTGTGTCCATTATTTATCTCATTTTCACATTGCAACAGGCAAGGGTAAGGTAACGTTACAGCTAGAAAGTATACATAATATCGACCAATTAGTGTTTTTAAACCATGGAAAGAGGTCAATATAACAGCGGGAGAACAATTATGTCACATAACGTTACATTTAGCTCAGGAAAGCCATTTAATGACCATAGCATGTTAATTTAATAGAAAAAATAGCAAGAGAGGAGATTTTGCTGATCAATATATCACATATTTATTATATTTTTTTTACTTATGTCATTAAATAATTGTTATTATACGCGAATGTCCACGTCTTGTACTCGCCCAGGAAATCTGTGTAAACCGTACGGCACCAGACAGGGGCAGTCGACCCGGGGTATTCACAGTGTTTTCTCTTCAAAATTGAAATTTTACTGCCACCATTAAAACAATTTATAATGGAAACTGTTTACCCACTCGACATTATACAAGGGATAACGTTGTAACGTTAGTGACAGTCGTAAATCGCGGGCTGTTTATTCCAGTGGACGCAAGTTGCAACTAAAACAATAGAAGGCAATGGCGCAAAGCTACCCAGCAACAGCTCAGTAATGGCGCCCGCTTACTTCCGGTAGTTTCGCCGGATTCGTCTATAGAGTGCCGAAGTGATGACGTCACTTTGTAGGACAACTTAGCGGCACACTCGGTCGAAAAGCAATGCATTTTCCCCATAGACTTTTGGAAAATCGCAAAAAATAAAATCTGTGTTTAACAAAGGGTTGTGACCCTTACACGTTTTGTCTAGCAAGATCTTTACAAGTTAATCCAAAATTTTGAAGCCTATATAAAGATTTTAAAAAACACAATCAGACACAATAAAGTTTAAAAAACCATAAGCAGGTTATAACTGTGTGTTTTATGTCATAGATCAAAACATGAAAATATTTAGAGGCTTTGTTCACCACAGACCTTATTTCAGGCGATTTAGCAAAAACCCATTCAAAAATCCCATAGACTTTAGAGCGAGGGAACCGTAATGCTAAAATGCTAACTCACTTCCGCGTTTTGGCCTACAGAGTGATGTCGTAAGTTCGGCACTCCATAGCACCATTCTTGTTAAAGGTGTACGAGGGATAGAAAATGCATTACTTCCAGCCACATTATGTCAAGTATTAATAACACTTATACCAAAATTAAATCAAGATCCCCTCCTAATAGAGTCAGATGGAGACTACATTATGGGCTGCTTGCTCAGTGTGGCAAAAGAACTGTTTTAACAACCTCCCAAACAAGAATAAAATTATCCAAAAAATCGAAGACGTGCCTTTTTCTGCTAGAGCTGTCCATGATCGTGCACTCGTGATGGCTTGCCAGATAGAGGAGATGCAAATCAACCACATCAGTTCAGGTAGTTACTTTTCTCTTTCCTTGGATGAGTCTACCGATGTGAGCAATATAGCACAGCTAAGCATAATCGGGCGGTGTGACGGGTGATCCAGTGCGTGAAGAGAGTCTCGTTGTTTTGCCGATGAAAAATACAACAAGAGGCGAGGATGTGTTAAAATCTCTTATGGACTTTGCTGCAGAGAAAAAGCTCCCACTGAATAAGCTTATATCGGTGTGTACTGATGGAGGACACAGTGTGTTAGGGAAACATAAAGGATTCGTTGCCCTTCTGTTTGAGCAAGAGAAGCGGCCCATCTGAAACTTTCATTGCATTGTGTATCAAGAGGCACCATATGTGCTCAATCATGTGGAGAGAAACTTCACGAAGTGATGTCATTGGTCGTTCGCATTGTGAACTTCATTGTGGCCCGAGCGTTAAATGATCGCCAGCTTAAGGCCCTGTTGGAGGAAGTGGGGAGTAATTATTCAGGGCTGTTACTGCACAGCAAGTGTGTTGGTTATCCAGGGAACTATCTTGAAGTTCCACTACCTGGTGGATGTTAGCTACTTACATGTCATGAACCACCTCAATGTGAAAATGCAAGGCATTGGAAACACAACCTTGTCCTGCAACAGGCAGTGTTTGCATTTGAAACAAAGCTGGAGCTGTTTATCAGGGACATTGAAAGTGTCCGTCTCCTGCACTTCGAAACATTGCGATCATATAGAGAGGAATGCTTAGCGAGGGACGCCTTTACGTCTGATTTACTGATGTCATTCAAATCACGCTTTGTGGACTTCATCAGACATGCCTGGCAAAGCAACATCAGTGGGCAGATATGAGAAAACTCCAACGTGAAGACAATCTCATCCTGAAAACCTGGAACGAACTTCCAGCCCCTTTCAGCACAATGCGTCGCGTCAGTGTTGCTGTCCTGACAATGTTTGGCTCAACATACACATACGAGCAGTCCTTCTCACATCTGAACAACATCAAAACCAACCTGCGCTCAAGGTCAACAGATGAAAGCCTGAATGCCTGCATGAAGCTGAATCTCACAGTTACGACCCCAACTACAAAGTTCTCAGCAAAATGATGCAGCAACAGAAATCTCATTAATGTTCTTTGGGTGCAATGCACTTCTTGTTATTCCCTTGTTCTCAATTTGTGTGGTGTCTTAGGAGAGATCAAGCACCATGTCAGTGAACAAAAGTATGAAGTAGCCTCAGCTTGAGTGTCAATGAGTGAAAAAACAGCTCTATTGCCACCCACTGGTGTTGTATATAACTACCAGAATTACTACCAGTGCAAGTTTTATATTATTTTATTATTATTACATATCAATGCAGTTCTTTAAAGGGTATCACAATTGGTCACACACACAATAAAAATGAGTCAATTAGTGGATGATATACAGCTTTATTCTTGAATGATTCTTCACAAGATCCAGTGGCTTTGGGTATCCTTCAGTCCCTTTCTGAAGTCTCTGGATTAAATGTAAATTTTAATAAATGTGAATTGCTTCCCATTAAAAATTGCTCCCTTACCTCTATTGATAATATTACTGTTAAAATTAGGGTAACATATTTAGGTATACAAATTACTGAAGATGAATTTAGGTGTTCAGCAAACTTCAAACCTATTATTACCAAGACTCAAAAAAGATGCGATTGCTGGTTACAAAGGGATCTGTCCTTAAAGGAAGAACAATGTTCACTAAGGCAGAGGGTCTGTCCCGTTTGGCCTATGGAGCTCAGTGTCGTTTTGTGGATAAGTTCATGGTGGTGAGAGAGTACAGCAGAAGGTTGAGCAGCGCAGCTGAGGGACTGAACCTTGACGAGGAGGCTCGTAAGGATTTGTTTAACCAGCAAAGGATGTGGTCCCGAGTCCGGTGGTCCGAAGAAGGAGGAAGAGACACGCCCCGTCTGCCCAGCCAGAGACTGCTCACGTCCCGTCTGCCCAGCCAGTGATGGTTCATGTCCCGTCTGCCCAGTCAGTGATGGTTCATGTCCCGTCTGCCCAGTTAAAGACAGATCGGGAGATGCCCATCAGACCTTTAGGGCCTGCCATTCCAGAGCCGGAGCCAATGTCTGCTGTTCCTAAGCCGGAGCTGGCGTTTGTTTCTGTGTTTGTGTCCTAGTGGCCATTAGTGTTCTAGTGGCTGTTCCCGAGCCGGTGTCTGCTGTTCCCGACCCAGTGTCTGCTGTTCCCGAACAGGAGTCAGTGCCAGTGTCTGTTCCAGAGTCACTCCACTGGCCACCCGAGGGGTCTTCATGTTCACTGCACGACAAAGCTGAAAATGGGTCTGGCCCGAAAAAGAGTCGCACGTATTGAATTCGGTTCAAAATAGGACGAAAAATCGCACAGTGTATGGCCGCCATTAGCGTGTTTATCGGGACAGTAACATGGAAAGTGCTTTAATGAAGCCCGTTTGGCTCTAGATGAAAATATTAGAGGATGTTGCGCCGAAAGATTATTAGATGACCCTAAGCGCTTGTTATGTGTACCGCTCCTTTGTTTTGGGACTGTTTACACCTGGTCATCACTTCGTGCGATTTCTGGGATAGGATTGCTAGACCAGGTCTGAATGGCCTTTGAGACGGATTTGAATCCGATATCAGGAGCTGATCTGGACTGCATTCCCAACAAAATTGGACAAGTCTACATGCATCTGGTTATTGGACCTACATATGTAAATTTTATTGTAAAGTAAAACTTTACATTGTAAAGTTTACACGCAAACTAGCACAAATAAAACTGAAAGTAAAGCCCAAACATGGACAGAATTGAGTCATAAAAACTGAATTTACTGTATAACGCAGAATTTCACGTATTGAATGGTTCAAATTCTCTGAACTCGTAATTACGATGTTTTTGACTCCACTAGGACACATAAACACAGCAGTAAAGTGACTCTCCTTCACCAGTAATGAGGAAGCTGCTTTACACACACCCCTGTTTGTTTGGTAACATTACCAGAAACATAAATCGGCGCATATGGGCAACAGTTTACAAGACGCTGTAACAAGTCTCACAGTAAACATAGCTAGGCCTACAATATTAAGTGCATAGTATACAATATATTCACCTTACTACTGTAAATTGTCATCACTATACTTTTTTTACGTAATTGCAAAATTTGTTAACTTTATTACAATTTTTTTTTCTGCCCAAACACGGACGGAATTGAGTCATAAAAACTTTACTGTGTAAAGCAGAATTTACCTGATTGGTTTATTCATGTGCTCTGAACTCATATTTACAATGTGTTTGACTCCACTAGGACACATAAACTCAGCAGTAAAGTGACTCTCCTTCACCAGGAATGATGAAGCTGCTTTACACACACCCCTGTTTTACACACGTCACTCAAACACACAAGCAGAAAACCATTTCAACTCCTCAGTTCAGAGAAACAGAAACTCAAATATTGTTGAGCTGTTGTGTGTTTGTGTTTCTGTATTCAGTAAAATGGCAGAAGGAAGAATTTCAGTGGATCAGAAGGAGTTCATGTGTTCAGTGTGTCTGGATCTCCTGAAGGATCCAGTGACTATCCAGTGTGGACACAGTTACTGTAAGATCTGTATTACAGACTGCTGGGATCAGGAGGATGAGAAGAGCGTCTACAGCTGCCCTCAGTGCAGACAGACCTTCAGTCCAAGACCTGCTTTAGGGAAAAACACCATTCTGGCTGAACTGGTGGAGAAACTGAAGAAGACTAAACTTCCTGCTGACTGTTACGCTGGAGCTGGAGACGTGGAGTGTGACGTCTGTACTGGAAGAAAACACAAAGCCGTCAAGTCCTGTCTGGTGTGTCAGGAGACTTACTGTCAAACTCATTTTGACCGTCATGAGGAATTTCCCTCTCGTAAACCACACAAAGTGATTGATGCCACTGGACGACTGCAGGACATGATCTGCCGTAAACATGATAAAGAGCTAGAAATGTTCTGTATCACTGATCAACAGTGCATCTGTGTGTGGTGTAAAGAGAGTGAACATAAAAACCACAACACTGTATCAACTGCAGCACAGAGGACAGAGAAACAGGTATGAACTGAGAGAGATTGATCACGCAGAAATTAAAGTTTCTTTATTTACTCACTCATTTACTCATGTTGAAACCGGTTTGACTGAGTTTCTTCTGTGGAATATAAAAGGTGATATTTTGAAGAATGTCTCATTTATTTTAGTTGATGCTTTGAAAGTCAAAGAGTAAAAAAGTGTCAAGCTTCAAAACATTAAAAAATCATAAAAGTAATCTAAACAACTAGTGGTTAAAGAAAGAAGTGCAATTAATTGTATTGACATGCACTTGTGCTGTACTTCAAATTAAAAGTGTATATAAAAAACTGTACTTGCAGATAATATAATATTAAATTAAATGAAAGACCACTTAAGTGCACTTAAAGAGAGTCAATTTGCATAACTGTTTCATAAGTACACTTTCTAAAGTACACTTTTTATAATATACGTAAAATTAAAGTTTTACGTAAGTTTTATTTTAAAATACATTTCAATATTTAATATTTAAATTTAACTCAATATAATTATGAAATTAGATTGTATAGGGGAAAGCGGGGCACAACCTAACGCATTTTGGTTTTGGCTAAATTAATTAAAAAATAATTAGGTTAGATTAACATTTTTTTACACAACGAGGCAACATACACATCTCTGCTACAAATGAACACTTAAAGATTTTTTCTAGGACCTACCATTTCCATACAGTTGGACTGAAAGTGACAGAAGTGCAAATGTTACAACTTACCCCATATACGGGGTTAATTGTAACAGACAGAGGGGTTAGTTGTAACACTTGTATGTAACACACATAATTCACTATTATTTTATTTGTATAGTTTGATATTGTTTGTGCATCTGTATAGACAGATATCCATACATACATCCCTCATCCAATCATCCTTCTATTATGGATCAATATCATGGATAGAGACATATAAAAGAGCTGCACATTTTTGCAATAAATAATAATAAATAAAAGTATAAAATATTGTAATTGCAATTAAATTAGATTTGTGTGTGGCAGCTGCATTGTAAAATTATTATTATTAATAATAACAACAACAGTAATAATAATACAAATGAGCTTAAAATAAACATTTTAAGGGTTTATTGCATTAAAAACAGGCCATATTTTTAATAAATAAACAAGTGATCAAAGCATAGTGAACTAAATTTTAAACATTTTAAATTCCAACATTGTTTGTGAAAGTCCAACAAAGTTAAATTCATAAATAATACTCAAACCTGAAAAGTTGTGTGGCTCCGTTTTCATTTGATTATCATTGTACACTTGGCGGCTTGTTTGTAACACTGTGCTACAACTAACCCCGATGTGTATTACATATTTTAACCCTAGCTTACAGTCGCTAGGAATTGCTGACATGTTTCAAAACGGTGCTATGTTCGAGCAAACAAGACAGTGATTTAGGCAATATAAAGTTAGATTTGGAAACGTATACACCCAACTCAGAAACCGTTAAAATTTATGATGAAAAAATGTACTTTCATGGTGTCAAAACACTCTTTGTCCAGTATCTTCACGAAATATTAGCAAAACTTTCCGCAAATTCGCAGGAGACCGTCTTCTGGCAGCAAGAGAAAAATAGCGTAAACACAACCTGCGTGTGTCACATGTCTGTCCTGTCTTTGTTATGCACATGAGTGTTTGTTATGTTGGGCCATGTGCTCTTGTTATTGTCTGTTCCCTCCCCCTTGTTATCTGATTATTGGTTTATTTGTCCCACCTGTTATCATCGTTACCCTCCTTATTTGCCTTCCTATTTAATCAACCTGTGTTTGCTGTCCTGTGCTCGTACGTTGTTTATAGTTTCCGTGTTAGTTGGAGGAAGTCTGTACCGGTCCTGTTTTGCCTTGTCTTTAGTTCTTTATTCATTGGATTCTTTTGTTGGTTTATTTATTTCATGTTTTCTTTATTAAACATCATCTATTCACTCTGCACTTGAATCCTTCATCAATTTTCCTCAACCCACCGTGACAGAACGTACGAGCCAATGTGGATTCAGCGGAGCGAACTCTCTCCTGAGGAGAGAGAGAATGGGATTTCTTTGTTCAAATACCTCTCCATGTGTGTTCAAAGGAATGAGGATAGGAGGGCAGCAGAGTCTTCCTCACGGGTCTCATCAGTAAGGAAGTCAACATCTCTGGATCCGTCAAGCGTGGGGACTTCAGCAATGGTTTTAGACAGCCCAGAGTCTACACACATCCGTCAGAAAAGACGAAGGAGGAAAAGGAGACCTGCGCCTGCTCAGTCAGAAACTGTGCACGGTACGTTCGCCCAGTCAGAGATTGCTCACGTCCCGTCTGCCCAGCGAGAGACTGTCCACGTCCCGTCGGCCCAGCGAGAGACTGTTCACGTCTCGTCTGCCCAGCGAGAGACTGTTCACGTCTCGTCTGCCCAGCGAGAGACTGTTCACGTCCCGTCTGCCCAGCGAGAGACTGTTCACGTCCCGTCTGTATCCCTGAGCTGGGACTACCTGGATCATCTGATTAAGACGTTGGAGAGACCTGTCCCTGAGCCGGTGCCTGTCCCTGAGCCGGAGCCTGTCCCTGAGCCGGTGCCTGTCCCTGAGCCAGTGCGAGAGCCTTTCCCTGAGCCGGTGCCTGTCCCTGAGCCGGTGCCTGTCCCTGAGCCGGTGCCTGTCCCTGAGCCGGTGCCTGTCCCTGAGCCGGTGCCTGTCCCTGAGCCGGTGCCTGTCCCTGAGCCGGAGCCTTTCCCTGAGCCGGAGCCTGTCCCTGAGCCGGAGCCTGTCCCTGAGCCGGAGCCTGTCCCTGAGCCGGTGCCTGTCCCTGAGCCAGTGCGAGAGACTGTCCCTGAGCCGGTGCCTGTCCCTGAGCCGGTGCCTGTCCCTGAGCCGGTGCCTGTCCCTGAGCCGGAGCCTGTCCCTGAGCCGGAGCCTGTCCCTGAGCCGGTGCCTGTCCCTGAGCCAGTGCGAGAGACTGTCCCTGAGCCGGTGCCTGTCCCTGAGCCGGTGCCTGTCCCTGAGCCGGAGCCTGTCCCTGAGCCGGAGCCTGTCCCTGAGCCGGAGCCTGTCCCTGAGCCGGAGCCTGTCCCTGAGCCGGTGCCTGTCCCTGAGCCGGTGCCTGTCCCTGAGCCAGTGCGAGAGACTGTCCCTGAGCCGGTGCCTGTCCCTGAGCCGGTGCCTGTCCCTGAGCCGGTGCCTGTCCCTGAGCCGGTGCGAGAGACTGTCCCTGAGCCGGTGCGAGAGACTGTCCCTGAGCCGGTGCCTGTCCCTGAGCTAGAGCTCATGTTGGTTCAGGACCCAGCGTTTTTGTCTGTGTTTGTGTCTGTTCTTGTGACTGTGTCTGTTTTAGTGTCAGTTCCTGAGCCGGCGCCTTTTCCTGAGCCGGAGACAGAGCCAGTGCCTGTTCCTGAGCCGGAGCCGGTGTCTGGGCCCTGGCCGCCCGAGGGGTCTGCACCGCCCTGGCCACCCGAGGGGTCTTCACCACCCTGGCCACCCGAAAGGTCTGCTCCGCCCTGGCCACCCAAGGGGTCTTCTCCGCCCTGGCCACCCGAAAGGTCTGCTCTGCCCTGGCCGCCCGAGGGCTCTTCGCCGCCCTGGCCACCCGAGGGGTCTTCACCGCCCTGGCCGCCTGAGGGTTCTGCTCCGCCCTGGCTGCCTGAGGGTTCTGCTCCGCCCTGGCCGCCCAAGGGGTCTTCACCGCCCCGGCTGCCTGAGGGGTCTTCACTGCCCCAGCCGTCTGATGAACTTTGTATTTCGCCCTGGCTGCCCGAAAGACTTTGTGTTCCTCCCTGGCCGCCCGATGGACTTTGTGTTTCGCCCGGGTCTCCCAGGACTAAACGCTTTGTCCCTCCCGTCCCGCCCTGGTCTGTCCCTCCCGTCCCGCCCTGGTGTTTCCTTCCGGTCCCACCCCGGTTTTATAGAGCGTCTGGTAGCCGCTCCATAGGGAGGAGGTAGTGTCACATGTCTGTCCTGTCTTTGTTATGCACATGAGTGTTTGTTATGTTGGGCCATGTGCTCTTGTTATTGTCTGTTCCCTCCCCCTTGTTATCTGATTATTGGTTTATTTGTCCCACCTGTTATCATCGTTACCCTCCTTATTTGCCTTCCTATTTAATCAACCTGTGTTTGCTGTCCTGTGCTCGTACGTTGTTTATAGTTTCCGTGTTAGTTGGAGGAAGTCTGTACCGGTCCTGTTTTGCCTTGTCTTTAGTTCTTTATTCATTGGATTCTTTTGTTGGTTTATTTATTTCATGTTTTCTTTATTAAACATCATCTATTCACTCTGCACTTGAATCCTTCATCAATTTTCCTCAACCCACCGTGACAGCGTGTCCCTGAGAAACTACGTAAAAGGTCCGTGTTACATTTAGCCCCGCGTTAGGTTGTGCCCCGCGCTCCCCTACTTAAATACTATTTAAGTGGGTCAAAATGTCACTCTTTAGTTCAGCCAATAGCTTTATTTTTACATTTAAACTACAATATTTAATTTAATAGCTATTTACATTTCTGAAAACATTACATTCAGTTCACACTTATTTCACCATTATAGTAGTATATTATTTCCAAAATAAGTACACTTTTTAAAAGGGCCAGAGTTTGATTCACAAATTAAATCGAATCATTGATAAACTCATGTATGTGGAGCCCAAATCAAATATGATGACATCAGAAACATCAAACTTCACTGGTGTTTGTGTCATGATATCATGATGTTTAGTCATGTGACTGTGACGTGCAAGAACCAATGAGGTTTGATGTTATTGACGTGTCACCATATTTTAAACAACTGAGACTTTCTTCTAAATATCTTCTGTTGTGTCTCACAATAGAGAGAAAGTCATACAGGTTTGGAGCGACTTGAGGAAGAGTAAATGATGACAGAATTTAAACTTAAGGGTGAAGGATTCATATAAAACTGGACACTGATGAAATAATGTTGACATTTCAGTTGTCATTCGCTGTCATTGGTTTGTCCTCCAGAAACAGCTGAAGGAGACGCAGATGAAGATCCGTCAGAGAATCCAGCAGAGACAGAAAGATCTTCATCAGCTGAGAGAGGCTGTGAAGTCTCATAAGGTGAGTCTGGAGAAGAAGAGAAGTGTGAGACGTCTCAGTTTGGACTCGGTCAGTCCTGCTGAACTCACTGTGTGATTGTGATGTGTGTGTAACAGCGCTCTGCACACACAGCAGTGGAGGACAGTGAGAAGATCTTCACTGAGATCATCCGCTCCATTGAGAGAAGCCGCTCTGAGGCGACACAGCGGATCAGAGATCAGGAAAAGACTGCAGTGAGTCGAGCTGAAGGACGACTGGAGCGACTGGAGCAGGAGATCAATGATCTGAGGAGGAGAGACGCTGAGCTGGAGCAGCTTTCACACACACAAGATCACATCCAGTTCCTGCAGGTAACAGAGATCTAGGAGAACAGGATCATAGTGGACTTGAGCAAGATCCTGCTATGACAGCTTCCCGCAGTGTCTACCTGCCGGTAGAACATGTTTGTGGAATGTTCTTCATGGTAGAGGTGTTTAACTTGTGTATGTTAGTGGTACAGTGTAGTGTGCATGTAGTGTAGTGCATGTACTGTACGTATGCTGTATGTATGTCAGATCTGTCTCAGTCTGTTTTGCTCCCCCCTTTGCTTGATGGCTTAGCTTTGATGAGCTTGTCACATCTTTGCCTTGGAAAGGGATCTTCTGTGATCTACTGGGGGTCAGTCCAGTAAGGCAGGAAGTTCTCTGGCAGACATTGGGAGGTGGTTTGGCCTGGATGCGTGAAGCTGTAGTGCAAAACGTGGTCTCCCTTGTTGCCTTCCTCTTGTGATTCCTTCTGGTGGTGACAGACTTTCTGACTTCTGTGCTAACTGTTGTGGCTGTAGCACACAGATGGTTCTTGAGTTTGGAGCTTGTGGTGTGATGGGTAACCAGGGTGGTGTTTCTGGTACCTCTGGGTGTTTGTCAGTGGTTGACTGTGAGAGGCCACTTTGTTCTGTGTTGTTGTAGAACAGGTGGATGTCTCAGGAAGGTGTGCAAGGTGATCACTGGTCTTCTGTGTTCAGCTTGTCTTTGAAGAACACTTGCAGTCGACTCAGTAGTCGCTCCATGTCTTCTGAGGGGAGACTGCCGTCTTCTTGGACACACTCAGTGTGGTGTGGAGGTGGGTTTTGTTGTCGCTTACCCACATAGAATGCTTTTGGATGCACTTGTTGATTCCAGTTGTTTCCCTCTGGTGGGTCCCATGACTTTTCCACGTGGTTGGAGTGGTAGCTGTCGTTAGCATGGGAGTAGCATTCTCTGTGCTCCTGATGAAGGACTGTGGCGTTGTCATGCCACTGGGTGTCTTCCAGTGCAAGGCTTGCGTCTTGGCTGATGGAGTTTGACACTGTGGATGTTTTCAAACCTTTCTTTGAAGTCATCTTTTGTTTGATGTAGGCCTTGTGTGTCAGGTCATGTAGCTGTTGAAGCGCCATGGTGACTGGGCAGGCCATGATGCCGAGATGACGACTCAGTCCTGGGTGCAGGTTTCTCAGGAAGAGGGTTTTGAAGTTCAGATCCTCTTCAGATTCAGGTTTGCTATGTGCACCGAAGTAGGCTTGTCGGAAACGGTGATAATAGGCTTGGGGAGTCTCTTGACGACCTTGTTTGGTTTCCAAGGCGACTAACACACCGTGTTCTGACTCTGGACTTGTAAATTCTTTAATCAGGATCTCACGTAGCAGCTGGTAGTTTGACTTGACATGAGCAGGTTGTCGGTCTAGGATGCTTCGTACCTCTTGACTGGATGTGGATCTGAGGAGGTATAGAATGTCTCTGTCAGTCATGGGATCTCACCTCTAGGAGGAAGTCGATATCTTGGAGGTAGGCCTGGATGCTGTGGCCCTCTGTGGAGTTCGGGTCAAACTGGGTGATGTTCTTAGCCAGCTGGTTGAGATCTTTGAAGGTCATTCCGGGTGCAGCTTTGGAGTCTGGCTGGATGATCTCTCTTTGTTTGTCGACAGGGAAGAGTTCTGTGGTGAAGGCCGGTGACGTTTTGGGGTGTGGCCATTCACTTCTTCCGTAGGATGACAGTTCTTGGATGGAGGACTCTGTTCTGCTCAGCAGTGATGATGCTGAGGGAGGTCTCTCCCTTCTTGGCTCTGGTTTCTGTGTAAATACATGTTGGAGTTCATTTCTGACGGCGTAGAGCTCGTCGTTGGCGTCGTCTCGCTGTTGGGTCAGATGGTCAATTTCAACGCTGCAACTTTGCAGGTGGTCTTCCAGAGCAGTGAGTTTAGAGTTCTTACTTTCAATATCAGCTTTGGCTTTCTCTAGCTGATGTTCAGCAGACTGGAGTTGGTTTTCCAGGTGCTTCTGGACAGTCTTTAACTCTTGTTTGTCACGTTCAGTGACTGCAAGGGCTTCTTGGAGCTTGTCAACTTAGGTCTTTGTTTCTTGCTCCGCTTCGGACACTTTGAGCTGGTCTTTGCAGTGTTGGTTGTGCATCAGCTCTCTCAGGAACTCGGTGGTCTTGAGGTCATCCTGGACTTTCACTTCCAGCTTGTCTATGCGGCTTTGGGCACGCGTCAGCTCCTCCTGAAGGTGGGTGACGTGCTGGTGGCTTAGGTTGAGCTGGGCTGTGAAGGCATTGCTTAGGGAACAGGTTATTTTGGTTAGTTCCACATGGCTTTGGTTTTGGCTTTGGTCAGGAATCTTCTCAGAATTATTATTATTATTAAAAATAATAACAGTTCAATTGTCTTGGGTGTGAGGCAGTCTGTAATGCCTCTGAGCCAGGCGTCCACATCTTCCCGTTGGGCAGTGGGGTTTGTAGTCCACGACATGTTGGCACGCTTGGTGAAGAGACTGACACAGATCTGTGTGCTTATGCCTATATATGGTTGCACGGCTAAGTGTAGTTTCAGTAAGTGTGCACCAATAGTGAAGTGTCGTGATGACTTAGTGTTGGTCTAAGTGTACACAGTGAGGTGAGTGATGTGAAGATCTCGTCACTCAACTGGGTAAAAGAAAGAAAAAGAGAGAGTTTAAAACAAATCTCAGATGGAAATAGCTTTTTTTTTCAATGGGAGAAAATATTTTTATATTTTAAATATATATATTTTTTTTTTAATATATTTATATTTTTATATATATTTTATATTTTTATATATTTTATAATATTTAAATATTAATATCCTATCACTGGAAAGCTGGTTTCAACTCGTGATGTGAGGACTTCGTCACTCAACTGAGTAAGAGAAGAAGAGAGAAAAGTTAACAACCAATTTCAAATGAGAGAGAAACGAAACAAAAAGGAAATTATTAACTAGGGAAAGTAAAAATTTCTCATAAATGTTTCTATCAATGACAATCTGTTTCCAGAAAGGTAAACAATATTACTGTTTATGTTTGCAATGAAAAATAATACAATAATAATGCTGATACCTCTTTTCTGAGTTTGACAGGATTGACACACACACCTTCGGTTGGACCGCTTACAGCAGGGCTTACAGCAGGGATGCTTTGAAGGCGGAGTTTGCTCAACACTTGTCTCTGTTAATTAATCTTGGATAAGATGTCAAAGTTTAAATTGCGTTTACAAATGCAGGGAGAGAAAGAAGAACGTAAGAGGGTTTGATTAAAAATCAAATACCTAATAATCTGTTTGTTGGGAAAGATTATCTTTGTCTCTTTTTAGAGTTGGTTGATGGTTCTTCCAGGTTTGTTCCCGACAAATGTGCAAAATTAGATGGAATAAAGCAGGACAGAATAGGAAAGACGTGATGAGGAGGGAATGAAGCAAGGAGGTTGGATCCCGCTACCTTTAGATCTACTACGAGTATAGAATTGATAGTTGATGAACAACTAAACACACAAACAAACTTTGTAAAAGACGATTGTCTCTGGTTTATTTGAAACTCGTATGGAGATGGTAATGTCTCCTATTGAAGCGTCAAGCAAATTAGTTATTCCAATATAGTGGTTAAGTTTATAATCAACAAGACGAAAGGATAAAACGCAATGACAATAATAAGCAAATCTGAGTCTAACACTATTTTTGTAATAGTAATAATAACTTTTAAATTTTAACTTTCGGAGTTCTTAAGTTTCAAAACTAATTCACCTAAAGTGATTAGATCTCAAAGAGAAATGTAAAAATTATGAAAATTATGCAATTAGAATTATTACAAAAATAAATCTAGAAATCATTAGAAATGATCTATCTAGAAAAAGTAGAATTTAAATTTGGTTTAATATTTCCTTGTTCTTTAAAATCAAATTAGAAATTTGACAATTAATAATCATAAACCAGCATTTTCTTTTTCAAGTAAAATGCAGGTAAAATAATTAATAATAGTAAATCAATATTTTCCTTTCAGGAAAAATTGATAACTTTAAGAAAAGTGTGAGAAGGTTAAAAGAAGAAAAACAAGAAAAGATTGATAGGTGTCTAACTGGTTAAATCACTTTAACGTTGTTCAAACAGACACTAGCTAACCGCTGGGGTTAGTATTGGTAATAGTAACTGATGCTAAAGGCTTTAGCACAGGCCTCAATGCAAACAACCGCTCAGCTTTAGCTTAGCCTAGCTTAGCTTAGCGTAGCGTTTGTTTGGTTTGTTTACCCCGAGCGAGTTGGGTCAGAGTTCACCCGGAAGTGTTGATTAAGACTTCCGTGTCACGATAGCAACTAAAACGATCAAGCGAACGCTAGTGCGCGAACCGTGAATTGCAGTTGGTAAGCAGTTTGTTAGAGTTCCATGCAATGTGAGCGCATTTCAATGTTCACAGAACATGTACAGTAACAATCGATCATATTACGGGAAATGTCGGCGCATTTCACACTGTTCAAATAAAATACACCACTCGTAGCTGGGTTTACGACGTGGGGCTTCACTCAGTTTGTTGAGAGTGATAACTTTAAGCACGCGGCGGTGCGCTGTATGAGAACAATGATGATCTCGTCTCTGTCTTTGTGCAGGTTTAGTTTCACACAAAGCAACAGGGTCTAACTTGGTGCAATTTCAAAACAAGCTTTACTTGGACAAAACTTAAAATAAGTCCTATTCAATTACACTCTGACACGCGCAGTGTTTACACGATAAATAATTGAACAGACATACACAGAAAAGCATTAACTGTTTATCACAGGGATCACGGATAGTGGGACACACACTGGTGATCAAATAAAATAAACAGATAAGCATTAAGTGTTTATCACAATGGAACACGCACTGCGATCAAACAAATAAACAGATAAGCATTAAGTGTGTATCACGGAGATCACAATGGAACATGCACTGCGATCAAATAAAATAAACAGAAAGCATTAAGCATTTATCATGGAGAAAAGCAATGGAACACGCACTGCGATCAGATAAATAACTTTAAGGCTTTTATGACTAGATTCGACAAGGAACACGCTTGACGCTCTGTCAGGAAAATATTTTAACTTACAGGGTTAGTTTAATTACTGCAGTTTGATCTCGTTCGGCTTCTCTGACTGATATAAACACAACGTTATAGCTCTTTGAAAGACTCTGGAACACGCAGATATCTAAGCTATAACGAGGCATTTCTGGAAATAAGGAACACGCTTAATTCCTACCTTATTGTAGTGTGAGGTCTTATATCTTATGCAGGTATAAAGAAAACAAAATAGGCGACAGACTAGACTTCTCAGCTTTCTGTGGGAGCTCACTCACAGACAACAACAGCAGCAGCAGCAGCAGCAGCTTTCAACGTGCGCGCGGCGCATATGTCACACAGAGACTCGCGGAGGTTTCGGATCTCGCATCCGCAACCAAAAATGAAAAGATAATTTCTTGATATATGTTCACAATTTAGGTTGAACTGCCCGCATTCTCCACCAAAAATATGTAGCAGATGCAACATATAATAATATACATAAAATGTATTAAAGGGGGCCGAAGGCCAATTTAGCTCAAAGGGAAATGATTCATTGATTTGCAATGAATCTATGGAACCGTATCACTGAACCGAGCAAATGACTCGTTTGGAGTTCATTTGAACGGGCCGTAATTTGCAAGGATATAAATTCCAAATCTATAGTGAAACATTATGTCTTAGCAAGGTAACTGTAGATCGAACAGTACAAGACATTAAATGTGCAAACACGACACAAGGCAATTATCTTTTCAAATATATGGGGACAAGACTTTATTAGCTATTCTAACCACAAAAATAAGGTCTAAACATAATCACGCACACAAACACATTCATACAGTCGCGAAGAGGGAAGAGTGAGTTGGAAAGAGTGAGAGAGAAAGTTTCAACTTTCTATATGCACGTAAGACATGACCTGAAAGGACCACCAAGCATTAATTTGAACCTTCGTTTCTTAGAGAGGTTATTCAATTTAAATTAAAGCACCAGTTCAGCTAAGAGTCTGGAGTACTTGCTTGTGTCTTTGCGTGGCTTAGGGGATTCCTTTGTTGCGTTGCATCGGTTTCCCGGCCGGGTCCATTGCGTGGTTGGTTGTCTTTGAAGTGCAGGGATGGAAGTTCCTGGGTTTGCCGGTCACGTGTGACTAGCAGCCGAATGAAAAGTCTTTACGATTTCGAAGTGCGTTGCGGAGAGCCATTTAAAACGAAGCTTTGCAGCAAACTTAACTTTGAAACGAGACTTTTACGAAAAAGGAAATAAAGGAAAGAAATGAAAGTAAGACGAGTCGGATGGCTTGACTGAGCTGAATTGTAACCCTGATCTTGATGGGTTATTCGTCTGCTGGTCGGATTTGGTCTAGTCGATGTAGAAGCATGTGAACACGTTCTTTGTTTCAGAGATAAGCACAAACAGAACACTCTTGCGGGTTTTAGAGAGAGGCACGAACTTAACAGTTACAGAACTGAACGAACTGAACTGAACACAAAACAAAAAGTCTTGTTCCTTTGTTCGGATCTTTAACTTAAACTCTAGTCCAACCTCCTAGAAACTTCTGGCCAATTGGAGGCGGATCTACTTCTTGCTTATCATAATTTATGCATGGTCTGTGAGCTGGTCTCCAGCACTTAGCAGAGAGAGACAAAAGACCATAGTTTAAACCTTATGATTATTATAATCATAAAACAAAACATTTTATGCAGAATTCAATCAAGCCATCTTTTAAATTACGAGAATACGATTCGTTTAAGATTAAACGAGGCATTCACACTTCTAATGGTTGTATGACAATTACAAGAGTTATTAAGTAACATCAATTACATGATTAATATGTGATCTAAGCATAATAACACATGAAGTGTAGGAACAACAAGAATTATGATTGGTTATAAGTCCAAGAATTGTTCTGTGGTGAGTTTATATGATTTTATGCGTGAGATCTCAGAGAGATCTCAACAGTGAGGTCGTGGTAGGTTCAAGGAGTAGGGGTAGAGGAAAGGTGTTCTGTGTCACATCTCTGTCAGGGGATCAAAGGGGTCTTTGTTGTGAGCCTCTCGTTCCACCATTTTGGAGCCAATTTGTCTTAGTAAAACATTAACATATTGACACGTTCGTCCTGTTTAGTGCCCATCTCTTGGGCCTGTGGGGCAATAAAAGTCCTTATCTGCAGACGGCATGGAGCTGTTCCGTGACTCTGGATGTGGGCTCCAGAACTTTGGAGTGTTGAATCCATGTGAATTAATCCCATGAGAGATTAATTTGATTAAGTTGTGTTTGATTCGCCTCGATTCTCTACAGTGGAGATGATGAGTTTTGATTTCTGTTTTCTGTAGAGTTTCCAGTCTCTCTCAGCTCCTCCTGAATCTACAGACAAACCCGACGTTCCCTTCGGTTCTCTCTCCTCTTTTGATGGCGTGAGAGAATCTGTCCGTCAGCTGAGAGACAAACTGGAGGATTTCTGCAAAGAGGAGATCAAGAAGATCTCAGACGGAGGTAAAGTCCTGCGCCTTGTTTATACACACGTGTGAGAAAGAGCCCAAATCTGAACAATCGGATGAACGGATCAATCCGATGTGTGTGTTTCATAAATGAAGCCCCTGGAGATTATTCATCAGCTCTCAGAAATGAGTCCATCATCTAATATCATACAGCATTATATTAGAAATGAATGTATTTGATCTTGTCATTTCTCTTCACACTGTTCATGTCTGTTTATTTCCACAGTCACTTTCACCAACATGAATCCCAAGACCAGGAACGACTTCCTACAATGTGAGTCACTAGAAAACAAGCAGAAAAAATCACTGAGTGTGTTCATGTTCTTCCTGTAAAAGGAGAAATAAATCATGATAGAAGAGTTTTATAATTGATCATGTAAATGAGGATTTGCTCAGGATATCTGATCATCTGTACTGAGACACTGATGATACATTGAACATTGAGTCATGAAGAGTTCAGAGACATTAAAAGATCAGACAGATTCATAATTCCTGTTTCTGATGTGTTTTCTCTCCATCAGATTCCCATCAGCTCACTCTGGATCTGAACACAGTGAATAAACACATCAGTCTGTCTGAGAGGAACAGAGTTATTACTCGCAATGACACAGAGCAGCCGTATCCTGATCATCCAGACAGATTTGATGTGTATCCCCAGGTGTTGTGTAGAGAGAGTGTGTGTGGACGCTGTTACTGGGAGATTCAGTGGACTGGGAATGGTGTGTTTATATCAGTGTCATATAAGAGCATCAGCAGGAAGGGAGAGGGTTATGAGTGTGTGTTTGGAAATAATGATCAGTCCTGGAGTTTGTTCTGCTCTTCCTCCAGATACACATTCAGACACAATAAGATACACACTCCTCTCCCTGTAAAGTCCTTCAGCGGAAGAATAGGAGTGTGTGTGGATCACAGTGCAGGAACTCTGTCCTTCTACAGCGTCTCTGACACAATGAGCCTCATCCACACAGTCCAGACCACATTCACTCAGCCGCTCTATCCTGGATTTCTGGTTTATTCTGGATCATCAGTGAAACTGTGTTGATGTTTCAGAACAGATATAGAGAGATTTTACCCATAATACTTTGAGCTACATGACAAATAAGTAACAGTGAGATATTACAGACTCTTTTTTTAATTTTCATGAATAAAGCTGAACTTCTGCTACTGAAATAACACGTCATAATAAATGTGTGTATTACAGTTTTTTCAATTGCTAACAAGCATCGGTCGATACTGAAGACCCAGAAGTCTCTGCCAAACTCAATCATTTTTCACTTCTTTCACACAGAATGCATTCAATGACCACATTTCATAAAAAAAAATCCATGAACACTTTTGTCATTCATGCTTCACCACCATCTGCAAAACACAATATATTCACAGCAGATTTCTCCAATGCTAACACATGCTTTCAAAACTGATAAAAGCTAATTGAAATCAGAATGACGGCAAACTCTGTGCATTTCTGCAGAGATTATAATGAGATATAAAATATTAGCACAATATTTACAATGAAATTAAATGATAATTATTGCAAACACAACTATTAGTCCTACAACCCGAATTCCAGAAAAGTTGGGACGTTTTTTAAATTTGAATAAAATTAAAACTATACGACTTTCAAATCACATGAGCCAATATTTTATTCACAATAGAACATAGATAACATAACAAATGTTTAAACGGAGAAATTGTACACTTTTATCCACTAAATGAGCTCATTTCAAATTTGATGCCTGCTACATGTCTCAAAATAGTTGGGACGGGGACACGTTTACCATGGTGCAACATCTCCTCTTCTTTTCAAAACAGTATGAAGACGTCTGGGCATCGAGTTTATGAGTGTCTGGAGTTTTGGTGTTGGAATTTGGTCCCATTCTTGCCTTATATAGGTTTCCAGCTGCTGAAGTGTTCGTGGTCGCCTTTGACGCATTTTTCGTTTAATGATGCGCCAAATGTTCTCTATAGGTGAAAGATCTGGACTGCAGGCAAGGCCAATTCAGAACCCGGACTCTTCTACGACGAAGCCATGCTGTTGTAATATCTGCAGTATGTGGTTTTGCATTGTCCTGCTGAAATACACAAGGCCTTCCCTGAAATAGACGTTGTCTGGAGGGGAGCATATGTTGCTCTAAAACCTTTATATAGCTTTCAGCATTCATAGTGCCTCCCAAAACATGCAAGCTGCCCATACCGTATGCACTTATGCACCCCCATACCATCAGAGATGCTGGCTTTTGAACTGAACGCTGATAACACGATGGAAGGTCTCCCTCTTCTTTTGTCCGGAGGACACGGCGTCCGTGATTTCCAACAAAAATGTCAAATTTGGACTCGTTTGACCATAGAATACTTTTCCACTTTGAAATAGTCCATTTTAAATGAGCCTTGGCCCACAGGACACGACGGCGCTTCTGGACCATGTTCACATATGGCTTCCTTTTTGCATGATAGAGCTTTAGTTGGCATCTGGAGATGGCACGGCGGATTGTGTTTACCGACAGTGGTTTCTGGAAGTATTCCTGGGCCTATTTAGTAATATCATTCACACAATCATGCCGATGAGTGATGCAGTGTAGTCTGAGGGCCGAAGACCACGGGCATCCAATAAAGGTCTTCGCCTTTGTCCCTTACGCACAGAGATTTCTCCAGTTTCTCTGAATCTTTTGATGATGTTGTGCACTGTAGATGATGAGATTTGCAAAGCCTTTGCAATTTGATGTTGAGGAACACTGTTTTTAAAGTGTTCCACAATCTTTTTACGCACTCTTTCACAGATTGGAGAGCCTCTGCCCATCTTTACTTCTGAGAGACTCTACCTCTCTAAGACATCCCTTTAATCATGTTACAGACCTGATATCAACTTAATTAGTTGCTATAGATGTTCTCCCACCTGAATCCTTTCTAAATTTCTTGCTTTTTCAACCATTTGTTGTCCCCGTCCCAACTATTTTGAGACCTGTAGCAGGCATCAAATTTGAAATGAGCTCATTTAGTGGACTAAAGTGTAAAATTTCTCCATTTAAACATTTGTTATATTATATATGTTCTATTGTGAATAAAATATTTGCTCATGTGATTTGAAAGTCGTATAGTTTTCATTTTATTCAAATTTAAAAAACGTCCCAACTTTTCTGGAATTCGGGTTGTATTTTTAGGCTGTTTCTGTCACAGACTAGAAGGACACAGATGGATGAGTATGAAGCAGGTTTATTGAAACAGGTGATATGGTCAAATAGCAGGTGGGTATATTAGAGAAAGTTCAGTAATGGAGCGGGAAACTGATGGATCTCTTATCTTGAGCAGGACTGGAAGACGGAAGAGCTGTGGCAGCGGACGGATGACCAGGAGAAGACCGGGGACCAGGAGCGGATGAGGAGCAGATGAGGCTTGAAGCTAGCGGGTAAGTATTCCTTTTGCAAGTAGCTGTGTAGCGGGAGTCTGTAGCCGATGTGTCGACGAGACCAGACGGTGAGTGACTGTGAGGAGTGAGTTTATAAAGGGAGGATGATTGGGACGGTGATTGATGCGGACAGGTGACAGTGATTAGTATGCTGGGGAGCTGGAACGAGTGGGCGGAGTGAAGGGCTCCGGGGTGCTGGACGATCTGGATGAGTGGTATGGAAGTCCTGGAGTAAAAAGGGATCCAGAATGTCCTCCCGGTTGACCCAGCATGTCCTCCCGGTTGACCCAGCATCTCTCCTCAGCACCGAATCCCTCCCAGTCCACGAGGTATTCCAAGCGGCCGCCCCGTCGTCGGGAGTCGAGGATTTCATGGACTCGGTAGATGTTGTCATCCTCTGGATCCGCAGGAGGAGGGGGCACCTCCGCAGCACCAGACCCTGGGGAAGAAGGAGTGAGAGGGTTAGTGTACGGCTTGAGCAAGGAGACATGGAAGGTAAGTGCGATACGGTAGTGAGCGGGGAGTGCCAGCCGGTAGGTGACGGGATTGATCTGCCTCTGTATCGCGAAAGGACCGAAATATATCTGGGACTCAGCTTCCGACAGGGCTGTCGGAGACGGATGTCCCGGGTGGAGAGCCAGACCAGTTGTCCAGGAAGATAGTGAGGGGCGTCGGTGCGGCGACGGTTGGCCTGGTTCTGGTGTCTCCGAACAGCCCGCTGGAGGTGAGTATGAGCTGAGTCCCAGACTCTCTCGCTCGTCTGGAACCAATGGTGGACTGCTGGGACGTCAGATGGTTCTCCTGACCAGGGGAATAGTGGAGGCTGGTAGCCGAGTATGCACTGGAAGGGGGTGAGTCCGGTGGTGGTTTGTCGGAGGGAGTTCTGTGCATACTCGGCCCAGGGCAGGAAACGGCTCCAGCAGTCCTGGTGGTCGTGACAGTATGACCGTAGGTATCTCCCGATCTCCTGGATCTTCCGCTCAGTCTGGCCGTTTGACTGGGGATGGTATCCCGAAGTGAGGCTGACGATCACACCCAGAAGGTTGAAGAACGCTTTCCACACTCGAGAGATGAATTGGGGTCCTCGATCGGAGACGACGTCCTCGGGAATTCCAAAGTTTCGGAATATGTGTTGGAACAGAGCCTCTGCTGTTTCAAGGGCTGTTGGTAAACCTGGAAGGGGGATTAGTTTGCACGCTTTGGAGAAGCGGTCCACTACTACCAGGATGCAGGTGTGGTTGTTAGACACGGGCAGGTCGGTGACGAAGTCCACTCCGAGATGAGACCAAGGTCGAGTGGGTATAGGGAGTAGAACCAGCTTGCCTTCTGGGAGTCGACGGGGGACCTTGGCCATGGCACAGACTGAGCATCCTTTGACGAACCGGGAGAAATCCTGGGCCATGCCCGGCCACCAGTAGCGCTGTTGGATGAGCGAGAGAGTGGATTGGCTGCCTGGGTGTCCAGAGCCCGGAGAGGTGTGTACTGAGTCCATGAGGGACAGGCGTAAACGGGTTGGGACATAGACCCGTCCCTCTGGACCTCCCGGCGGAGCAGGTTCGAGCTGGGTGGCTTCGGCGATGTGGTCATCCATACTCCATTGGATGGGGCTGACAACCACGGCTGGAGGGAGAATGGAATCGGGCTCCGAAGGAGGTGTCTCGGGCTGGAACAGACGGAAGAGAGCATCTGCTTTCACATTCTTTTCTCTGGGGCGATAGGTGACTGAGAAATTGAAGCGAGTGAAGAACAGGGCCCAGAGAG